ATATTTTGTTCCTTAGCAATAGTGATATAATAAGAAAGGAAATATGAAGTCCAAAATCTCAAATCTATTTTCTACTCTCTACTAATTCCCCCAACCCCCCATAGTATTTTTAGGAGATAGGAGAAGCTTTGTTTTGAGCATCTGCATAAAAACAAGGTTAATCAGGTCATACAGCATAATTTAACCAATTATTCATCAACAGTGTTTTTAGATTTGGCCTATAATATATGTTTTTATTGGCTCTTTAAATGGTTATTTATAACTATTTAATCTAAATTCAAATAGAAATTTTACTGACAGTAATACATAGTTTGAAAGCTGTTAGACCTGATAATATTTAAGAGGCAGTTAATGAACAGATGCTCTGGAATCAGATGACCTGGGTTTAAATCCCAGATCTGCCAGTTCAACAACATGATCTCGGATTGTAACTCTCCCATTGGTAAAATGAGGCAATTAGGTTTCCTCATGGGGTTGAGAATTAAATGAGATGATACATATAAAGCACTTAAAATAGTGCCTGAAATACAGCACATTCCTAGTCATAGTTTCTGTTATAATCATAAAATTATTATTGTAATTAACCTATTTTCTACCCTAGAAAGAGTTCTTAACAGAGATTACACTCAGGGAAGTTGATGACAGCAGTGTAGTTTTTGACTCTCCCCATAAGAATACAGAGCAACTAGGATTGCCACAGACGCTATCTGCAGAACTAGATGACAAGGTATCTCCATGAACCTCAAAATACAAGTGAGAGCAAACCACTGACCCACATAGTTTCAGCATCTGTGTGGGAGGAAGTGGAAGGAAGGCAGCTGGTTTGTGACAACCCTGCAAATTGGGGAACTGTAACACTGCCCACAGTTTCTCACTACTTCAGTGCAGTGGGCCAGCCTGAGGACAGAAGCTGAAACTGGAAACACTTCTACAGAATCCCATTTGCAAATGAGTGTTAAAGCAATATGATAAGGTCTGATGATTGTGCTAGAGTAGATGGGCCTTACACTGTATACCTCTTGAAGCTAAGGAGACAAAGCCTAGTGCTAAGGAGAAACTGCTAGAATTAGAATCCAAATTGAGCAGGATGGGGATGATAGGACAAAAGCAAGGTCCATATAAATATTGGTAAGGAAGGCCAATATATGTAGACATTATCTGTATATATATGCGTATACATACATACATATATGTATATACAGACACACACACACATATCTCAAATCACTGTGAAAAAGGGAGCTTTAGGGACATGAAGCTAGAAAAGTCATCCACCAGCCACCCCTCCCTCATAAAAGTATAGGCAAATTCATTTCACTTAAGGTGAAAAAAAAAAGCAACCGAGCCAGGATTACAGTCAAATTCCATTCAAAGTTAGTGTAAGAAATAAGAGAATAAGTAAATCAACATCGCCACAGACAATGAAAGCACACCAGAGAGACATGACCACAAGACAGATGAAAACCTAGTATTTCCAAAAAAATTAAAAAGCAATAATGACAGGAAATGTATTAGTACTATATCAACAAAAGGGAAAGATGAAAATTAAATGACCAAGTCTTAATTAAATGCTGGAGTAAAAAGCAAATCAAAAGAAAGCAGAAGGAATGAATTAGTAAAGATTAAAGCAAAAAGTAATTACTAGTAGAAAACCAAAATATTGTAGAGCCAATAAATAAATCCAAAAGTTGGTTTTTTGGCAGAGTTGGTGGTGGGAGGTACAGGGAGCTCAGTGAGATAGACAAACCACCAACTAACCTAGTTAAGAAGGAAGCACACATACAAAAATTTAAATGACAAGGGGGGAATAAGAAAACAGGAAATTTTTAAAAATTGACTACTTTGAGCAATTTTATATAATAAATCAGAAAATTAACTTTTTTGAGAAAAATGCAGATTGCCAAAATTTAGTAAATACAGAAAGTCAAAAGAAACCAATATACCATAGGAAAAAAAAAGTAAGCCTCACAAAATAAAATATGAGTGTAAAAAATAAGTAAATAAAGGAACCCTTACCAGAAAAAGCATCAGGTGCAGATTGTTTCAAGGGAATTTCCAAACCAAACCTTTATGATTAAATAATCCCACTGTTGCTCAATTCTAGCAACTGGAAAAAGAATCTTAAACTTCAAAGTGCCAAAGAAAAAAAAATAACTTCCAAATTCATTTTGTAGAGTGAAGATAATAGCATTGATTCAAAAACCTGACGAAGACTGGACCAGTCTCACAAATATCAATGAAAAAGTTTTAATGATATATTAGCAAACAATACAACAGCACTTTCAAAAGGTAATAAATGATGATCAAGTTGGGTTTATTATAGGAATTATATGATTATCTTCCACCTTTGCAAAAAAGGTATATGATAGAATTGATCACTCACTTCTATTAAATATACTCAGTAAATAGAAATTGATGAATAATTCATTAACATTATACCTCTGCCTAAAAGCCAGCATCTTAATGTCAAAACAAAAGAGGCTTCCAGCTGACGTCAGGAACAAAACATAAGCCCACTGTCTCCTCTACTAAACATCGTGTTGGGAGTTTTAGCTGGGAAGAAGTTAGACAAAAGACTTGTGAATTGAAAAAGAAGAAAACTATATGCAGATATGAATATCTAGAAAACCCAAAGGGACTTGTTGAAAAACTATAAAAGAACTTAGTGAAGTAGCAGTTAAATATAATTAACATAAATATTCATAGCCTTCACCAGACACAAAAGAGTGCATACTCTGATTCCATTTAGACGAAAAGCTCAAAACAGGCAGCGTTCGTGCATAGTGTCAGAAATGAGCACCCTCTTTCAGTCACTACCTCTCTTCTAAAAGGTAAGCACCCTCATGACTTAAATCACCATCAATTAATTTTGTCTGGTTTTGGACTTTATATAAGGGGGAACATATTGTATACATTATTTTTCAACTGGCTTTAACTCAGCAGGAGTGGACGGGGGCGCTGTATGGTGCTGGTAATGTTCTGTTTCATTATCTAGGTGCTGGTTACATAGGTGCATTCACCTTATGAATATTTATCAAGCTGTATACTTATGATTTGTGCACTTTTCTGTATGTATAATTATAGTTCAATAAAAATGTTTACTAAAAATAAAAAGACTTCATATATATACAAACCTAAACTAGAAGAGAAGACCCCTTTTTTGTTAGCAAAAGCCAAAAAAAAAAAAAAAACTTGTGTAAACTTGATAAGGCATGTCTAAAACCCGTATGAGAAAAACTTTTTTTTTTTTTCTTTTGAGACAGAGTCTCACTCTATTGCCTGGGCTAGAGTGTCGTGGCGTCAGCCTAGCTCACAGCAACCTCAAACTCCTGGGCTCAAGCCATCCTGCCTCAGCCTCCCAAGG